AAAATTGAAATTCAAGTAGACTTTATATTTTAGATAATAATACTGCATCAAGAATAATTTTACAGTTTTAAGAGCAGTACCCTGGTTATGTATGTAAGAGAAACTGGGTGAAAACACATATGAACTTTGGAATTAAAGTATGAGTTAACTTTGGCGCTAAAACTTTTATAAAAATAATAACAAATGGAATTAAATAAATAATTCTTTTTTTACTTTTTTTTTTTTTGGAGAGATTTTCACTGTAGGGCGCGTGCGCTCGCCAGACAGACAGAGAGAGACATAGAGACAGAAAGCGAGAAATCACCCCCCGGGGGGATGGTCACGCCGCAATCCCTTCTCCTCCATTCTCCTCTCGGGATCTTGGGCACGCACGCACACGCGCCCGGCGTGAGTTTTAAGCCACCAGGTCCGGGACACGAACTGCGGTCGACTACGTGGGAGTCCAGCGACATAGCCATTACGCTAACTGCTGGTTCCCAATAAATAATTCTTAAAAAAAAATTTTTTTTCTATACTCATTGCCTACTCCAGGACAGTGTGTTTTACCCTAAGACCAAAAGAAAATCAGCTATCATTAGCTACAAAATAATCCTATTCTTACTAATGTTTTACCAATTTAGCACTGGCCTAGCTTGAAATGTTGTTATCTCATCAGGTCTGTAAACTGACATTTTAACTTTTCAGTCAATACAGAAAATTTGTCTTTGCCTTTAGCACTGCCCTAGCTTGAAATGTTCTTGTTATCTCATCAGGTCTGTAAACTGACATTTTAACTTTTCAGTCAATACAGAAAATTTGTCTTTGCCTCAAAGTAGCTTTGATTCAGCAAATTATCTGTAAATTATGGATGTTACTCTCACTTCAAAATTTGTACAATAATATCTTTTGTTTAAAAAAACAGATCTATATGGGACCAGCAGTTAGCGTAATGGCTATGTCACTGCACTCCCATGTAGTCAACCGCGGTTCGAGTCCCGGACCTGGTGGATTAAACTCACACTGGGCGCGTGTGCCTGCATGCCCAAAATCCCAAGAGGAGAATGGAGAAGAAAGGAGTGTGGTATGGCCATGCCCCTGAGGGAGTGCTTTCTCACTATTCCTCTCTCTGTCTCTAGCAAGCGCATGCACCCTATAGCAAACTATAATTAATTAATTAACTAATTAATTCTCACAGTGAAGTTCAACAAACAGGGCAAAATCAATGCCTTCTATAAGGTACATCAATTTTTTTCCAAAGAATTATTTAATTTTTATTAATTCATTCATGTATTGTAATTTGGCGAGAGAGAGATGGAAAGTGAGAAAGCAAGCCACCAGGTCCAGGACTCAGCCCATGGTGGACCACGTGGGAGTGTCCACTGCCTTAGCCACCATGCCACCTGCTGGTCCCCAGTATATTAAAGTTTTTAGTAGAGTAAGCTAAAGAAGCCATTCCCTACTATCTTCAAAAACACAGTTCAATATTGACCCCAAATCCTGAAAATTAACTTCCTACAGACTAATTTCATGTGAACAGGGAGCTAGAAAGAAAATTAGCAGTTGGTCTTAAAAACTCTTGAGAGTTTTAATGAGGTTTATTTTTTTAAGTCATTTGAGTCCAAAGTCATGATCCATAATTCACCAAACAAGAATGGCCCAGATTTCAAGTTACAATGAGTTTCAGCCATCACTCGGGGGGTGGAGAAAAAGGAGCCTTCGTCTGGTGGTGACACTGGCTGGATGGGCCGATCGCTTTAACATCCACGAGCCTCAGTTTACACATTTATAAGGAAAAGATCTGTCTAGAAGGGCTCTAAGGTCTCTTCATTCATTCCTAGAAGCCTAATACTGTAACCAAGATTTTCAGAAACATTTACGCCCAACCTCCTTTCAAACGGAACCTGCAGCAGTTCACGTCTCACAGGTGCACACAAGAGCACGCTGAGGACTCACGCGCAGGAATGAGAACAGGAGAAGGGGTGAGGAGCAAAGTCGGTATCCGGTATTACCCTCGAGATATCCCTAGTGCTACCAGCCTACACGGTTTAGTGTAAATGTGCTTAAGTCAGACCACGGGAAAACACCATTTCTTACTTTCCAGCTAGCCCAAGAAACCATACCTATAAAAAGGTCTTCATCTCTCTTTTTTATAAATCTTTTTTTTTTGAGATGCTAGAGGGCGCACGTGCTAGCTAGACAGACAGAAACACTCACAGAGACAAAAAGTGAGAAATGGCCCTGCCAAGGGCTATGGCTAGACACAGCCCCTTCTCCTCCTCTCTCCTCTTGGGATCTTGGGATCATTGCAGGTGCATTTGCCAGGGAGAAAGAAAGCGAAAAATCTCCCCTCAGGGGGAATGGCCACACTGCAATCCCTTCTCCTCCTGGGATCTTGGGTACAGACACCCAGCGTGAGTTTAAGCCACCGAGTCTGGGACTTGAACCATGGTTGACTACATGAGAGTCCAGTGCCATAGCCATTACGCCCACCGCCGGTCCCCTGGCCTGAGTTTTAAGCTGCTGGTTTAGGAGTTCAAACCACAGTCTACCACGTGGGAGGTCAGCGACATAGCGATTATGCCATCTGCTGGTCCCAATATCTCTTGTTTTTAGCATCAAAAAAGCAAATACAATAAACATATTACACTGAAAGAAAAATGGAAAACCGCCTACCAAGTGTATGTCTATCATTTCCCCCCAAATCTCACATTTACTTCCTGAACTTAAGAAATAACAAATAAAAGAGAAAGACAAGTCTTCACTTCCACGTGACAACAGAAGAAGGGACCCAAAGCCCAGAGAATGAAGACTGTTGGCTCCAGATCCACCTCTGCCAGGGCTCCAGGGCCAGGTGTGGTAAGTGTGAGCCAAGGACGTCTCTTCAGACTTTCCCTGCTGTATCAAGGCAATTTTAGAGTTCCCTAAAATTTCAAGTAAAGGGCATTCAATGTGTAAGAGGTAAGTACTCTCAGCTCCTACTAGATTTTAAGGATTCAACTATGAAAAAGTAAACAAGTTCCTTAAAAATAGCATTTGCCTTCAAAATTAACTTGAAAATTCAGATGAAATAAAACAAACACAGCCAAGGGAACGTCTCCCTCTGAGGAGTGTGGTAGATGACACAGAATTACAGAGATGTCATTACCTGAAGATCAAGGTCAAAGACAGGTTTAATGTGGTCAAGATTTTATTTCCTTTTCACAGAAATAAACCAGAAACATGAACACTGCTCAATCCCTAAAACAAAGCCTGGTTCAAAAACCCTACAAAAAAAAAATTAAAGCTCAGGGGCCGGCAGGTGATGTGGTGGTTAAAGCGGCTGGACTCCCACATGGCTGACCTGGAAGCTTGCTTTCTCACTTTCCTTCTCTCCCTGTTTCTCTCTGGTCAACTTCAAAAAATAAACAAATAAAAAAGATTTTTAAAAAGTAGTAACAATAAATAAAAATTCTTAAAAAAAAAATTAAAGTTCAAAATAACCCTCAAGCGACCTTTCCAGCAGCCAGCGTTCATTTCATCCATCATGACAAGCAAAGGATGAGCCAGGCACAGTGAACCGGTTCACGTGGCCACTTCTGCCTTGACAGCGAGCTCAGGGTTTCAGCGACAACAAGGCCTTGGGGTGGGAAACAGCAGGGAGGTGCTCACTGCTTCTAGCATTCCCCTCTGGGGTGACCCCCCGATTTTCAGTAGTTCGATTTCCTCAACCACTGACACAGTTGCTGGAGAAAATAAGCCACCTCCTCTAGAGCCCTCAAGTTACACAACCGCACAGAAAGGAGGTGCCAAGTTCAGAGAGACCAGCAGAAACCAGAGCAGCGCCAGGCGCTCATGGCTGGACTCCCGGCCTGGGCTTTACCACCACTCGCGTCTACACTCCAAGAATCGACTCCGCCTGAATTCTCTACAGCTCAGACTTACTAAGATTTAAAAGCCAAAGTACTACAAGGGGCTAGCTCCCACTATTCCAAGCCCACTCTGTCCCAGAAGCCTTCCTTCTTCAGGACACTCCGGCTTCCTGTCCTACCCTGGAGCCACAGTGCCATGTAATGAAAATACAGAGGAACTATGGAGCGCTTCAAAGACGGCAGGCAGGTCTCTACCCATCGGAAAGCTACACTCCATTCGCACCAAGGAAAGGCAGCCAGACGGCTGAATTTCAGGCTTTACTAATTAGGTGACCTTTTTCTAGTTCAGTAAGGCCGCTAAAAATAAATAAATAAAAAAGCTTCTAAACTGTAAACAGTTAAAACATACATTATATATGTGTGTGTGTATATATATATTTCAGTTTCAGTCTGTAGGGCAGAGACTAAGCTCAGATCTGTTTCAACCTCTCAAAACCGAACGCGGACAGCTACTCGTGCAGACAGGGGAGACTAAACTATTGTTCGTGGTGCAATCACAGCACGTTAAAGCCCTCTCTAAGAGGAACCAGCCTGAGAACGGGCAGTCCCCTGTACGAGAAACTTGGAGGCGATCAAGAAAACAAAGTCAACAGGCTTTTTCCTCCCCAGCTCCTACCTTTTCACTTCCGAGACAATAACCTACGACTCTAATGTCAAGTGATTAAAATTTGCCACCAGGAAAGACAACAGTGTAAGGCACTGCAGTAGGAACGGAGAGCAAAGCGTTCGAGAGGATCTTCCCAGTGTGAACGCTGCCTCTTCCAACGATGCATCCTGGCTCTAAAAGGCTTGCAAAGCACTTGTAAGGGGGCGGGGGACCCCTTCCCCCACCAACCTAAGCCATCAGAACGGCCAAGCGTGTTTTCTACAAGAATGAAGCTTCAGGAGCGGTTCCCGAGCCCAAGCTTGCCGGGCTGCCCTCCCCGGCCCTCCAGACACCGAAGTGAGCAGAGCCTACAGGGCTCCATGGCCCCGACGGCCACGCGGCAGCCCCCGACCTCCGCCGGGGAGGCCCACGCACCGCTGGGAGCAGTCGCGCCGGGCAGAGACCCAAGGCGGTGCAGGCCTTCTCCAAAGCAACAGAGGCTGTGGCCCGCCCCGAGTGCCCCGTACCTCATGCTGTAAGCGCCGGCGCCCAGCTCCTGCCCGATGCCCGAGAGGCTGGCGTCGAAGTCGTGCACCAGCCCGGACTCGATCACCTCGTCCATCTTGAGCACCCAGGCCATCTTCCGGCCTCGCCGCCGCCCCGCGCAGTGCGGCCTCCGCGTCCGAGGCGAAAGGGCCGGAGCTCCGCGGGCGCGTCCTGGAGGAGGGCGCGGGTGAAGCCTCCGACAGCGCGGCGAGTGGTCACCAGCGGTGGCCCGGACGAGAGCAGCCAGGGCCCCGCTGGCAGGGCACGGCGAGCCCGGCGAG